AACTGGATCACTATGTGGATGGCCTCTTTAAACCCCTGCTACATGCTGGCTCCAGAGATCATATGTCAGTAAGTCTAATCTTTTCTACATTTTTTGCTGTTCCACATATACCCACTTTCTGACAATCTACCTTTCCTTGGTGGGCACTGAGAACATAGCTCTGTTGGTGGTTGTGATCATTGCCTCTTTGCCACACATTTAGATACCTGATCTCCAGGAGTAGGTGGGTTGGCAGAGTTGTAACTAAATGTTAGTATCTCTTTCTCTCCTGCCTCTCTGCAGGTTATGGAAAGTGAGGCAAGCCTGACTGGGCGTATGAAAGGAGGTGGGAAAATGCATCAAGGAGTCTATTCAGGTACAAGTTTGCACATGAGGAGGAGAGCAGCAGGGTTGTACTTGGCAGGAGGGTAATAGGGGGCTCTGATGAGTGGTGGCTGTCCTTTTTTAAGGATGCTTCAGCAACTCCATGGAATCAAGTCTTACTATTCACGCTGCTGGAATGAGGATTATTGACCTAAATATTTCTCACTGCATCTAGTAAATAGGGAAAAAAGGGGGGAGGCAAACAGCTGTATAAGCACAACATGAAAAAACTCTAAAAACTGTTGTATAGAGGTCTGTATTTGCATGTGGTAGTTCCTTTATAGGGGGAAATGTAAAAAATGTTACAAGGTGCATGTTATTAAATGCATTTACAACTTCAGTCATCTTTTATCAAGATAAAACATATGTACCATACGTAACAATAATATAACTAACAATGCATCAGTATTATAAAATACAATGAATAATCTTTATTGGAATACCAGATCCTATCTCAATAAGGTAAAACTACCAATCAAAAGTCTTGTTTCCTTTATTTAAGCTGTGTTATCAGTTCTCTTGCTAAAAGCTCTCTCCTACTCACCAGATGTTATTATTTGATTTAATTATTTAAATTCCCAAAACAAAGGATTAAAGTCCTACAGATATTGTTCAGTTCATTTTGTTAAAATGGCTAATGAACAAAGAAGTCACATTAAAACAACAACATGAGAATATTTCTTAATTAATGGGAAGTATATAGTCTCTGTGGTAATTCAGTCCTGGTGGGATTTATATAATACTCTTACAATACATACTGCCTCTTTCTTATGTAACCGTTTCTTTATAAAGTCTACACCATGATAGACGTTACTTGGCTTACAGCTAGAACTTACAATGTTTAGGTAGAGTAACTACTAAAAATCTTCTTGTTCTCCCAAGCCTTGGAATAGGGTGATTTTGGAGCCCTCTTCAGTTATGGGTACTTTGTGGCTGGGTGTTATACACTTCTGGTCTGCCATGATCTCTTTTGATATATATTGTTTTTCTTTTATTTGTAAGCCACCCAGGGTCATCAAGGAGTTGGACAGCCTTGAAATTTGATTAAATAAATAAATAACCATCTTCTATAACCTGCAGAAGGTGGAGCTTCATATTGAGAAATTTACAATGCCCATGTTGCTGTTTCTAGCTTTCCAAACCCTCTCTATTCAGTGAGTTAGCAATGTCTTTGACTCATATCAGAGAGAGTTTAATTTCATTGCATGTCATAGGATTGTTGTCCTTAGTATTATGTTATGTGGGTATGT